GGAGGCCCCGCTGGCAGTTCCATCCCTAGCTCCTCATTTCCCTCACCCCCACATGAGAGAGCCACTGCAGCCCAGCTCACCAAGCCTTAGTTGCTGCATCTTGCCAATGGGAAAAACCTGTGGGGATTCCCAGAGCTCCAGCAGGACTCGGAGAGATCAGAATATGAAGGCAGTGATATAGGGATTGTGTTAGAAGCACTCGGCTCTGAGGTCAGCCAGAGTAGGGTTTGAATCTCAGCTCTGCCCCTTGCTCCCTGTGTGACCTGGAGCAAGTGACCCTCCCTCTCTGAGCTTCACTTCGTCATCTGCAAAATGGATAATATAAGTCTAACTGTGCCTGGGAGTGCAGATCAAACACAATCAGGTGTGCCATGCAGTGAACACGGAGCTGGGCATGTAGTAGGCACAGGTAAGTCCTTGGTAGAGCAGGGGAGGAGCAAAGCGGGGAGAGCACCCCGGAATAACGATGCTGGCGATTGTGCGCTTACTACATGCCCAGCTCCGTGTTCACTGCGTGGCGAGCCTGATTGCATTTGATCTGCACTCCCAGGCACAGATAGACTCATATTGTCCATTTTTCAGATGACGAAGTAAAGTTCAGATAGGGAGGGCCACTTGCTCCAGGTCACACAGGGAGCAAGAGGCAGAGCTGAGATTCAAACCCTGCTCTGGCTGACCTCAGAGCCCAGTGCTTCTAACATGTCCCCTACATCACTGCCTCATATCCTGATCGCTGAGCCCTCCTGCACGCAACTCTGGGAATCCCCACAGGGATGTGTAACCTGCGATGACTCCCCTGCCTCTATTTCCTCATCTGCACAATGAGGGTTTGGGCAGAATTCCCCCAACATTGACTCACGGCAGGGCCAGACTTGGGGGCTCCAGGCTGCCCGACAGACACTCCCTGCCACACCTGGCTTTTCAGAAGGCTGTAGGGGGAAGAGCAGGACTGAAAAATACAGCCTGTCTCCTCCTCCCACGCCTCCCACTGCCCCACGGCCAGACCTGCTGTATGTTGGTGACCTTTAGTTAGTTTGATAAGGTAATTCTTGCCCATGGCTTAAAGGTACCACACTACTCAGATAACCATGCTTGCCTGCTCACCCTTGGTGCCTTAACCCCAAACAGCAGGGAAAGGAAATTCCGGTCTCAGCAGGGTGACTCATGCTTGTACTCCCAGCACTTTGGGACGCCAAGGCGGGCAGATCACTTGAAGTCAGGAGTTCAAAACCAGCCTGGCCAACATGGTGAAACCCTGTCTCTACTAAAAATAAAATTATTAGGCCGGGCGCGGTGGCTCAAGCCTGTAATCCCAGCACTGTGGGAGGCCGAGGCGGGTGGATCATGAGGTCAAGAGATCGAGACCATCCTGGTCAACAT